TGGAATTCCAGTTGTATGTGTGCGGACATAATCAAATTTGTGATGTTTAAGTTAATGTTGCAGACTTCATGTTGTGTAAAAAATTCAGATTAATATCATTTGTACACTCCCTTTGAGAAGCTGTAGAAGTTCTTCTGTTCGGCAAAATCAATTTTTTAATACCCTCATTCCGTATGCAACACCACGAAATATTCACCGGAGACCCAAAAAGTATATACACCTAAGTCTGTTTTTACACGGTCTTTTTGTAACACGGTTTGAAAATTAAAAGTTTTTTTTTAAACTGAGTATTTTTAATTTTTTTACACGATTTTATTCCATTTAGCTTAGCTGGCTTGTTACAGAACGGTTGTTCCATAAGCCGAGCTTAAAAAAGATTTCCAAGCGCGTCGGTCTTGTGCGCAAGTCCACCAATTTAGAAGACCACGTTCCAAGATGTTGTTTTCTACTTGGTCTTTCCATCTAATTCGTGGCCTTCCCCATCTACGGGAACCATCAGTAGGCTCATTTGTATATGCCTTTTGAGCTGGGGCATTTTCATTCATCCGCACAACATGGCCTAGCCACCGTAGTCGCTGCAGCTCAATATGTCGATGTCCGCGTATAAATTGTAAAGTTCGTGGTTCATTCGACGCCGATATTCACCGTCGACGCAGATCGGCCCGTAGATCTTTCGGAGAATTTTTCTCTCAAACACCCCAAGAGCTGCCTCATCTGCTTGCGCAAGTACCCATGCTTCTGATACATATAATAGCACGGTTAGTATCAGCGTCTTAAAAAGTGCGAGTTTGGTCTAGCGGGAGGTGGCCTTGTTTCTAAACTGCTTACTTACACCATAGTAACATCTGTTGGCCATCACAATCCTTCTCCGAATTTCAAAACTGATGTCATTCGTTTTATTTATGGCGGTACCAAGGTATATAGTCTTTAACTACCTCGAAGCTGTAGTTCTCAAGTTCCACAGTTGGTCCGAGTCTACTGGCTTCAATCGTTCACACAGCACACTGGAAAGCACTTTATATGCGATGGGAAGGAGACTTATTCCTCTATAGTTGGCACATATCGTCTTGTCTCCTTTTTTGTGCACGGGACTCGGGATGCCTAGGTTCCTATCATTGGGCATGCGTTCATCTAGCCAAATTGTGCTAATAAGCTGGTGCATGACCAGCATCTGGCCACCAGACTTGAATAGTTCGGCTGGTAACCTATCGGCTCCTGGTGCTTTGTTGTTCTTGAGCCGATTAATTGCTTTTATGACCTCATCTTGGCTAGGTGGTATACACTCTATGCCATCATCTCTTATTGGTTCTGGGGCATCTTCTTCATCGCCACTATTTGATACTAGAAGCTTTTCGAAATGCTCCTTCCAGATCCTCAACGCGCTGTCTGTATCCGTCACCAGGTTTCCTTCTTCATCTCTACAGGAGGATGTGCCTGCACCAAAGCCTTCGGTTTGGTGTTTTACTCGTTGGTAAAATTTCCGGACTTCATTCTGACTCCTGTACATCTCGATTTGCTCACGCTCACGTTTTTCTTGTTCTTTCTTCTTTTTTCTGAAAATACGTTTCTCCTCTCTCCTTTTTTCCACATAATTCTCCATCACGTTACGTGTTGCTCATGTCTGCAGGTTTGCCTTATACGCTGCGTTTTTCACATCAGTAGCATTACGACACTCCTGATCGTACCATGGGTTTCTTGGTGGTGATTTTTGGTACCCAATTGTTCATTTTGCTGCAGTTTGTAAGGAAGTGGACAATTCTTTGCCATTGTGCTTCTATACTATTATCGGGACAAGAAGTGCTTTCTTCAAGCAGATGGGTAAGTTGAGCGGAGTAGGCCCCGACTACCTGTTGTGTTTGCAGCTTTTCGACGTCGAGTTTCCGTGTTGTATTAGATCGCACCTTTGCTGCAACATTAAGACGGGTGCGTACCTTGGCTGCCACAAGGTAATGGTCCGAATCGATATTCGCTCCTCGGATCGATCGGACGTCTAAAACACAGGATGAATAACTTCCGTCTATCACAACATGATCAATTTGATTTCTCGTTACTTGATCAGGAGAGATCCAGGTGGCCTTATGTATATCGAGATGCTTGAATCTGGTGCTGCTAACTATCATGTTTTTTTGCTGCCGCGCCGTCAATCAACCTCATGCCATTGTCCGATGTTTCTTCATGAAGGCTGAATTTTCCGAGGGTGGAGCCAAAGATAATTTCCCTTCTGATTTTTGCATTGAAATCTCCTAGCAGAATTTTAATGTCATGGCCAGGGCAACGGTCATATGCTGTTTCTAGGCGCTCGTTAAATATGTCTTTGGTCTGTTCACCTTTATCTTCGGTCGGAGCATGGGCGCAAATTAGACTGGTGTAAAAGAACTTCGCTTTTATGTGGATTATAGCAATTCGCTCATCTACTGGAGTGAATCTGGAGACAAGGTATTTTTTTCTCCTGTTAACCGTAAATCCGCAGCCAAATTCATGTCTCGTTTCATGGCAGCTATAATACAGGGCGTAATCATCTGATTTACTTACGCCAGTCCCTTGCCATCGCATTTCCTGTAAGGCAATAATATCGACTTTGTACTTCTTGAGTACATCCGCCAAAGCGAACCCTGCGCTTGTTCTGTACAACGTGCGCACATTGCAGATTCGCAGATCGTGGTCCTTTATACGTTTGGGGGGGTCGTCAACATTAGGGGGGTTTGGTTTTCTTTTTCTTAGCTTTTTCATAGTAGGTTGGGTTTTCCGAGAGTGGACAACTAACCCGACGCCTCAACCCATTTTTTATAGTTCTTATGGGTGAACTCGCGACACTATTTCATCGGGTGATGAGAATAGCTCCCCAGGTGGCACCGCGGGGAGGTCAGTGTCCACAATTGAGATGAAAGAGGGACCAAGATAAGCCTGGACTTCGCCATGTTAAAGCCAATCAGAGCCGTTGCTTGGTATCTATCATCCCCTACGCCATCGATATTTATGTCAATTCCCCTTTAGCGCGTACAAACAATTTTTACTGGTCAAATCAAATGTGAATAGCACTAATTTAGGGGAATTCCCTATTTTACACGTTTTTTCTGGAACCAATCTTCTGGAACCAATCTAACGTGTAAAAACAGACTTAGGTGTATACTCTTGATCAAGGTATATATATTCCGTCTGTCCGTCTGTGGAAATCACGATAGAAATCGCAATATTTAATATAGAATTCTGAAGTTTTGATTTTGGATATTTTGAATGCCGAACAAATGGCGGAGGGTATATAAATTACGGTCCGGCCAAACTTAACGGTGTCTTAAGAATACTCCCATATATTTTATGAGGAACCTATCGAATATCGAAAATGTAGAAAAAAATAATTTAAAAAAAACCTTTAGAAACCCTCGAAAAAATCTTAGGCCCTTGGCAAAAATTGTTTTCTCGGAAGATGATTACGAATCTAATTATACCCTTCACCACACTGTGGTACAGGGTATTATGTCTTTGTGCATATGTTTGTAACAGGCAAAAATAATCGAGATAGACCCATGGTTCCTTTTGAGAATATGCAAAGAATGACTTTCTGAGTCGATTTATGCATGCCCGTCTGTATTTTTGTTAACAAAGTACAGGTCACATTTATGATCCGATTTGGATGAAATTTGGCACAGGTCACTTAATTGGCCCAAGGACGAACTCTATTGAAATTGGGGAAAAATCGGTTCAGATTTAGATATAGGTCCCATATATATTTTCGTCCGCTTTAAGGTAAATGGTGTACCAAAGTCCCTATATATCTTTCGATTTGCACGAAATTTGGCATAGCGAAATGAATTAGGTCTAAAATGATGTGTGTTAGGTTTCCTGAAAATCGGTTCCAATTTAGATATAGCCCCCATATATATTTTCGTCCGATTTAAGCTAAATGGTGTAGCAAAGTCCCTGTATATCTTTCGATTTGAACGAAATTTGGCATAGCGTACTTAATTAAGTCTAGAATAGTGAACGTGAAGTTTCGTGAAAATCGGTTTGGATTTATATATAGTTCCTATATAAATTTTAGCCCGATTTAATGTAAATGGTGTACCAAAGTCCCTATACATATTTCGATTTGCACAAAATTTGGCATAGTGTACTGAAATGAGTCTGGAGTGATGTGTGTAAAGTTTCCTGAAAATCGGTTTAGATTTAAATATAGCTCCCATATATGTTTTCTTCCGATTTTATGTAAATTGTGCACTAAAGACCCAAAGTTTGTCCGATTGCCGCACAATTTGTACAATAAACTGTAGTTAATATAAGTTAACCTCTGCCATTCTCATTGAAATCGGTTCAGATTTTGATATAGCTTCTACATATATATTTTCATCCGATTTTACACAAAATTGTCACAAAATTTGCACAGCGAACTAAAGTTTTGAAATGTGGAAAGTTTTGAAATCGGTTCAGATTTGGATAGAGCTTCTATATATATTTTCGTCCGTTTTTAGGTAATTTTGTCCCATTGTAAGAAGCAACTCTATATCTGAACAAAAATGAAAAATTTAGTATAGGTTGCAGAATTGGACGTCTGTTAGCATTCATCTGTTGAATATACCCAAAGTGGTGAAGGGTATCATATAGTCCGCCCCTCCCGACTTTACTACTTTCCTTACTGGTTTTCTTTTAATGAAACTAGCAGTGTTCGTAACATAAAATTATGAAATTATTGTGGCTTGCCACATTATCTAAAAACTAAATATATAACTAATTTTCAAAACTAAATACCAACCTAAACTAACCTAACTAACTACAAGTAAGCATAAGTGTCATTATATGTTTGCCTATAATAGGATAGAATTAATAATTACTTATCTATGTAGTTTACTTTGTGTGTCTGCACGTGTGTGAGTATTTTTGTCTGTGTCTGTGTGAGTGTACTTAAATTATCTAAAGTCTATTTAATAAACTCACAAAAGTACTTGTTGCAATTCTCTCAATCGGCTGAACGAATTCGCACTCACCCCTCACCCACCCACCCAACTCTATGGAATATTTTTAAATTCTAAATAATCTCGGACATTATTGGGACACATAATATTTTTACCCAAAAATAGCACCGTCGACATGGGATGTAGGAAATCTGCAGAAAACGACTTGGCCTTCCAGCCGAAGAAACCATTCGGTTTCACCACATTGCCGCTGATCTCAAATGGCAACAGATTTACACCAATTTGATTTATCTTCGAAAACTGCACCTTAAAGTAGTGGCCATCGGTGGCCTTTATCCAATAGAACCCCTCGTTATCAACATAGGGTTTATTTTGGGATTTCTTCAATGAATTCGAACGCTCCAAATCGTTGACATTGAAACTTATGTCAATGTCATAAGCATCGGGTGATAAACGATTGGTGTCGATTGCCGTTCTCAGCGCCTGATTGTCCAACCAATAACGAATTCCGACATTTTCAAATTCCTCCAGGACATGATTGAAGGTACTCTTTAGCTTATCCAAACAACAGGGCGGCGTATGTTTACCCAGATAGACATAAAATGGACGTTGATTATAGACGGTACCCACACAGGATTTGGTGGTTCGTTCACAACCGATTAAATCGATGTCGGTAACTTGGGGTAATGAGAAATTCGACGAGGAGAATTGTGTATCCAATACTAGATTGTGTTGAGCATTGTACGAGGACGAGTCCTTGGAATCGGTTTTAATCGATACCTTATGGGAACGTCGTACAATCCGCTTTATTTGTAATTTTTTATACATCTCCCGAAATTGACGTCGTCGTATATCTGTACGTCGCTGTTTGGTGTGATACGCTGCAAATAGCCGCCGTCCATCTTGAAACGAGGTGGGAAATACGAATTTCTGCAAAACAATAGAGGAAGATAATAATTTGTTATTAACTGAAAAGTAAAACAAGAAACAAATGTGGAATAAACAAAAAAAGAAGAAGAAAAAAACAGTAAGGAAAGTAGTAAAGTCGGTCAGGGCCGACTATATGATACCTTTCACCACTTTGGTTATATTTAACATATGCATCCGAACAAACATGTCATTCTGTAACCCATACTAAACTCTTCATTTGGATAGAAAGAGAACGAGACAAAATTATGTAAATCGATTTAAAGCAAATCTCAATCGGACATACGTTGATTATTTGAAACCGAATAAACATGAAGTTGGTCGAATATATGGGCTATGTCAGCATTTTTACATTTCTACGAAAAGCAATTACGACACCCTATACTCAATTTTGTACGTTGTGAAATATTTCGCGTCAATATGACAAAAATTTGGAGTTTGGGGCACCATTTAATTTTAAAAATCGGACGAAAATATTAATGGAAGCTATATCTAAACGGATTTCAATGAAACTTGTCACAGTTAGTTTATACTACTTTTAGCACGTTTTGTGCATATCGGCCATATTTTGAGCCCTTGGTGCATCGGAGGAAATATATAGGAGCTATATACAAATCTGAACCGATTTGAACGAAACCTCCACATATTAGGCTATACTAACTTCACTACGTTGTGTCGTGAACCGAATTTCCCTTCGTGTAATTCGAAAGATATATAGGGACATCATTCTAGACTTAATTCAGTACGCTATGCCAAATTTCGTCCAAATCGAAAGATATACAAGGTCTTTAGTATGCCATTTACATTAAATCGGACAAAAATATATATGGGAGCTATATCTAAATCTTAACCGATTTTCAGGAAACTTGACACACATCATTCTAGACCTAATTCATTACGCTGTACCAAATTTCGTGTAAATCGAATGATATATAGTGACCGTTTACATAAAATCGGACGAAACTCTATATCTAAATCTGAACCGATTTCCACGAAACTTAACACACATCATTCTCGACATTATTCTGTACGCTGTGGCCAATTTCGTGCAAATCGAATGATATATAGGGACTTTGATGCACCATATACCTAAAATCGGACGAAAATATATATTGGAGCTATATCGAAATCTGAACCGATTTTCCCGAAACTCAGCACTCATCATTCTAGACTCAATTTAGAACGCTATGCCAAATTTCGTGCAAATCCAAAAATATATAGGGACTTTGGTACAACATTTACATTAAATCGGACGAAAATATATATGGGAATTATATATAAATCTGAACCGATTTTTGCGAAACATAACACACAGCATTCTAGACTTAATTCAGTACCCCATGCTAAATTTCGTGTAAATCAAAAGACATATCGGGACTTTGGTATACCATTTACATTAAATCGGAAAATAATATATATGGGAGCTATATCTAAATCTGAACCGATTTTCACGAAAATTAAAACACATTGTTCTAGGCTTAATTCAGTACACTATGCCAAATTTCGTGCAAATCGGAGCATATATAGGGACTTTGGCGCACTATTTCCCTAAAATCGGACGAAAATATATATGACAGCTATATCGAAATCTGAACCGATTTTCCCGAAACTCAGCACTCATCATTCTAGACTGAATTTAGTACGATATGCCAAATTTCGTGCAAATATATAGGGACTTTGGTACAACATTTACCTTAAATGGGACGAAAATATATATGGGAGCTATATATAAATCTGAACGGATTTTCGCGAAACTTAACACACATCATTCTAGACATTATTCTGTACGCTGTGCCAAATTTCGTGCAAATCGAATGATATATAGGGACATTGGTACACCATTTACCTTAAATCAGACGGAAATATATATGGGAGCTTTATCCAAATCTGAACCGATTTTCAGGAAATTTAACACACATCATTCTAGACCTAATTCATTACGCTGTAAGAAATTTCGTTCAAATCGAAAGATATATAGAGACCGTTTACATTAAATCGGACGAATATAGGTATATATATGGGAGATATACCTAAATCTGAATCGATTTTTCCCAATTTCAGTAGGGTTCGTCTTTGGGCTAAATAAGTGATCTATGCCAAATTTCATCCAATTCGGATTATAAATGCGACCTGTACTTCGTTTACAATTTAACATGGACAGACGGACGGACGGACATGCGTAAATCGACTCAGAAAGTGATTCTATGGATATTCTCAAAAAAAAAATCCACGCCTTCTGTGGTTGGTCCTTTGGACAAAAAATTTTTTAAAAAATCCACGCCTTCTGTGGTTGGTCCCTTGGACAAAAAATTCTTTAAAAAATCCACGCTTTCTGTGGTTGGTCCCTTGGACAAAAAATTCTTTAAAAAATCCTCGCCTCGCCTTCCCTTGGACAAAAAATTCTTTAAAAAATCCACGCCTTATGTGGTCGGTCCTTTGGACAAAAAAATTCTTTAAAAAATCCACGCCTTCTGTGGTCGGTCCTTTGGACAAAAAAATTCTTTAAAAAATCCACGCCTTCTGTGGTTGGTCCTTTGGACAAAAAATTATTTAAAAAATCCCCGCCTTCTGTGGTTGGTCCTTTGGACAAAAAATTCTTTAAAAAATCCACGCCTTCTGTGGTTGGTCCTTTGGACAAAAAATTCTTAAAAAAAATCCACGCCTTCCGTGGTGGGTCCTTTGGACAAAAAATTCTTAAAAAAATCCACGCCTTCTGTGGTTGGTCCTTTGGACAAAAAATTCTTAAAAAAAATCCACGCCTTCCGTGGTGGGTCCTTTGGACAAAAAATTCTTAAAAAAATCCACGCCTTCTGTGGTTGGTCCTTTGGACAAAAAATTCTTTAAAAAATCCACGCCTTCTGTGATTGGTTCTTTTTTTACAAAAAATTCTTAAAAAAATCCACGCCTTCTGTGGTGGGTCCTTTGGACAAAAAATTCTTAAAAAAAATCCACGCCTTCTGTGGTGGGTCCTTTGGACAAAAAATTCTTAAAAAAATCCACGCCTTCTGTGGTGGGTCCTTTGGACAAAAAATTCTTAAAAAAATCCACGCCTTCTGTGGTTGGTCCTTTGGACAAAAAATTCTTAAAAAAATCCACGCCTTCTGTGGTTGGTCCTTTGGACAAAAAATTCTTTAAAAAATCCACGCCTTCTGTGGTTGGTCCTTTGGACAAAAAATTCTTTAAAAAATCCACGCCTTCTGTGGTTGGTCCTTTGGACAAAAAATTCTTTAAAAAATCCACGCCTTCTGTGGTGGGTCCTTTGGACAAAAAATTCTTTAAAAAATCCACGCCTTCTGTGGTTGGTCCTTTGGACAAAAAATTCTTTAAAAAATCCACGCCTTCTGTGATTGGTTCTTTTTTTACAAAAAATTCTTAAAAAAATCCACGCCTTCTGTGGTGGGTCCTTTGGACAAAAAATTCTTAAAAAAAAATCCACGCCTTCTGTGGTTGGTCCTTTGGACAAAAAATTCTTTAAAAAATCCACGCCTTCTGTGGTTGGTCCTTTGGACAAAAAATTCTTTAAAAAATCCACGCCTTCTGTGGTTGGTCCTTTGGACAAAAAATTCTTTAAAAAATCCACGCCTTCTGTGGTTGGTCCTTTGGACAAAAAATTCTTTAAAAAATCCACGCCTTCTGTGGTTGGTCCTTCGCCTTGTGGGAGTCCTGAAAAAATCCACGCCTTGTGGGAGTCTTCAAAAAATCCACGCCTTGTGGGAGTCCTGAAAAAATATTCTTTAAAAAATATTCTTTAAAAAATCCACGCCTTGTGGGAGTCCTGAAAAAATATTCTTTAAAAAATCCACGCCTTGTGGGAGTCCTGAAAAAATATTCTTTAAAAAATCCACGCCTTGTGGGAGTCCTGAGAAAATATTCATTAAAAAATCCACGCCTTGTGGGAGTCCTGAACAATATTCTTTAAAAAAACCACGCCTTGTGGGAGTCCTGAAAAAATATTCTTTAAAAAATCCACGCCTTGTGGGAGTCCTGAAAAAATATTCTTTAAAAAATCCACGCCTTGTGGGAGTCCTGAAAAAATATTCTTTAAAAAATCCACGCCTTGTGGGAGTCCTGAAAAAATATTCTTTAAAAAATCCACGCCTTGTGGGAGTCCTGAAAAAATATTCTTTAAAAAATCCACGCCTTGTGGGAGTCCTGAAAATATATTCTTTAAAAAATCCACGCCTTGTGGGTGTCCTGAAAAAAATTTTCTTTAAAAAATCCACGCCTTGTAAGAGTCCTGAAAAAATATTCTTTAAACAATTCACGCCTTGTGGGAGTCCTGAACAAATGTTCTTTAAAAAATTCACGTCTTGTGGGAGTCCTGAAAAAATATTCTTTAAAAAATCCACGCCTTGTGGGAGTCCTGAAAAAATATCCTTTAAAAAATCCACGCCATGTGGGAGTCCTGAACAATATTCTTAAAAAAAACCACGCCTGGTGGGAGTCCTGAACAATATTCTTAAAAAAACCACGCCTTGTGGGAGTCCTGAACAATATTCTTTAAAAAAACCACGCCTTGTGGGAGTCCTGAAAAAATATTCTTTAAAAAATCCACGCCTTGTGGGAGTCCTGAAAAAATATTCTTTAAAAAATCCACGCCTTGTGGGAGTCCTGAAAAAATATTCTTTAAAAAAACCACGCCTTGTGGGAGTCCCGAAAAAATATTCTTTAAAAAATCCACGCCTTGTGGGAGTCCTGAAAAAATATCCTTTAAAAAATCCACGTTTTGTGGGAGTCCTGAAAAAATATTCTTTAAAAAATCCACGCCTATTCATGGCCCTTAAAAATATTTTTCAAAAAATCTACGCCTGAAAAATATTTTTTTTTAAATCCACGCCTTGTGGATGAAAAAATCCTCGCCTCCTGGTGGTCTTTAAAAATATTATTTATAAAATCCACGCCTATTGATGGTGACATAAAATATTTTTTTAAAAATTCCACGACTTGTGGGATCCCTGAAAAATTATTCTTTAACAAATTTTAAATTAATTTTTTTATATATTTTTTAATACTGACCAGGATACCATTAATAATATCCTTT